ACTGTGGTCATAAAGGGATGGACATGGTCAAAAGATGGTACACTGTGGTCATAAAGGGATGGACATGGTCAGCAACAATACTCAGGTAGGCTGTATTGTTGAYACCATGCTCAATTGGTACTAATGGGCCCAAAGTGTGTCAGGAAAATATCCCCCACACCATTGCACCACCAGTTTGAACCGTTGATACAAGGCAGGATGGATCCATGCTTTCATGTTGTTGGCACCAAATTCTGACCCTACCATCTGAATGTTGCAGCAAAAATCCAGACTCAGACCAGGCAACGTTTTTCCAATCTTCTATTGTCCAGTTTGTGAGTCTGTGTGAACTGTAGCTTCAGTTTCCTGTTCTTGGTTATTTGAGTTACTGTTGCTGTTCTATCAGCTCCAATCAGTCGGGCCATTCTCTGACCTCTGACATCAACAAGACATTTGCTCCCACAGGACTGCCGCTCACTGGATATTTTCTCTTTTTCAGACCATTCTCTGTAAACCCTAGAGATGGTTGTGGGTTAAAGTCCCAGTAGATCAGCAGTTTCTGAAACACTCAGACCAGCCCTTCTGGCACTAACAACCATACCACGTTCAAAGTCACTTAAATCACCTTTCTTCCTCATTCTGATGTTTGGTTTGAACTGTAGCCGATCATCTTGGGACATGCCTGCCTAGATGAATTGAGTTGCTGCCATGTGATTGGCTGATTCAACATTTTGTTAATGAGCAGTTGGACAGGTGGACCTAATGAAGTARCCAGTGAGTGTATATCTACTTTAAAACCTTTTAGCTGAATTCTGATACTGAATTTGATCCRAGCCAACAGATTTTTGTTCCTCTGAAGGAAACATCATTGATGCACAAGCTGACCTTTGTTTTTGTTTCTAATAGTTAAGACTGGTCTGTTTTATTTGTTTCCATTTCTGTTGCCATAAAAAGATGGCAAATGCCACACAGTTTCATTTATTTTAATTACTTTTTTTATTAACTGGAAAATATTGTTTGTGAATTATTAATTATGAAAAATTTGGGAAATAAGAACTGAATGCCACACAGTTTCATTTATTCTAATTACTTTTTTTATTAACTGGAAAATATTGTTTGTGAATTATTAATTATGAAAAATTTGGGAAATAAGAACTGAATAATTTCAAATTTCATAAACCTGTTTTATCCAGAATGGGCCATGACAAACAAATAAAATGCTGAAATGAAGAATCTGTGCAATTTTAAGCTGGCGTGGTATGGGAA